TCTGATGCAATTATTCCTTTCCATTGGAATCTCTGGCTATTTGCTTCTCTTAGGTACTGCCTGATTAAAACGCCTATTATGCTAATTTTTGTGTGTATTTGCATGGATGTCCTTGCAGGAATGTCTGCTAGGCCTTTTAGAATCCAAGACTGTGATATATGTAACACACCAAGTGGAGTTCTTGCCTGCTGCAGATTTAATATTGGTGAGAATACTTAAGAAATTTTCTTCTTCCTCCAATTGTAGTCATTGTACTGTATTTCAAATCACCTTCTGATTTGATTACCCTCTAACTCACGTATCTTTTAAAGGTCATGAAAGATGGGAGTATATTGCAAGCTGGGAAGTACAATGATATTCTTGCTTCAGGAACAGACTTCATGGAACTCGTAGGAGCACACGAAGAAGCCTTATCTGCACTTGATTCGGTTGAGCCTGGAGTTTCAAAGCCGAAAGTTGATGAGGAATGTAGTGATAAGGAAGCCTTAGAGGAGAGCAATGTTGGTAAGATTGAAAAAAATGATGATATGACGGGGCTTAAGGGACAACTAGTTCAAGACGAAGAAAGAGAAAAAGGTAGAGTGGGACTTTCAGTCTATTGGAAATATCTCACAACAGCATATGGAGGAGCTTTGGTACCTTTGATATTGTTAGCTCAAATACTTTTCCAGACTCTTCAAATTTTAAGCAATTATTGGATGGCTTGGGCAACTCCTGCCTCTTCTGATGCTGAACCTACAGTCAATGCGAAAACTTTAATACTTGTCTATGTTGCTTTGGCCATTGGAAGCTCCTTTTGTATCCTAGCAAGGGCAAGTCTCCTTTATACTGTTGCGTACAAGACAGCTACTTCACTATTCAGTAAGATGCACTCATGCATATTCCGTGCCCCTATGTCATTTTTTGATGCTACCCCAAGTGGGCGGATTTTAAATCGGGTACATACACATCCCCTGTTTCTTCTTTGTTTTGCATTCAATTTTGAGATATTTCTGATGATTGATGGTATAAGAAGAATAGGAAGGTGGTAAATTATTTTGTGACATCTCTAAATAATGAACATAATAAGTATCTTAAATAGTCTGCTGTAATAAGAGTTGATTTGACGTAATTTATTGTACATATTTTCATTTCATGTTTCAGGCATCTACTGATCAAAGTGCTGTAGATCTGAACATTCCATCTCAAATTGGTTCTTTTGCATTCTCGTTCATACAACTTCTGGGAATTATTGTGGTGATGTCACAAGTTGCATGGCAAGTTTTTGTGATTTTCATCCCTGTTATTGCAGTCTCTTTATGGTATCAGGTAAATTTGATGAGCTTCAGACTCTTGTCATTATACTTCATTGGAAATTGTTGTACGAGCTTTTCAGGAGCTTGTATCAAAATTGTGGTTTGCCATCTAGTGTAGCTCATTGTCGACTAGCTATTCTCTTTATTTATCTATGTTTCTTCTCTAAATTAGCTTGAGTGTTGTTGATATTGTTATTCCATTACCTCAACATATTGACTCCAAATGAAAATTTTCGTTTGGTTGTTATCTCTTCTATCTTTATTGGTCACTGATCAGATTAATGTTCTACGAATTATTCGGTTCATTCTTAAACTATATCTGATCAGGATTGGGTTCTAACATTATCCTTTTATATCCACAATTTAGTTTGTAAATATCAGCTGTATTGATATTTATGATCGAGTCAACTGAAAGTATAATATTTTCGATCTGCTTCTGATCAGACCAATTCACCATAATATCTAAATCTTAGTTGGCCAGATGAGAAGCTTTTACTCTGATCAAACCTTAAATGAGGTCATCTTTGAAAAATCATGCTGTTTATTGGTATCAGATTATTATTAAGGAAATTGAGAAGTCATCAGATGGCACATTTATGCCAGGCAGCAGGTGTTGTTGCTTGGAAATGGGAAGTAAAATTATCAATTATGAAAGAAAAATACAAAAATTCAGATAAAAAATGATAAATGTGTGAAATTTTTTACAAATTTAGCTATACAAATACGAAGTATAAAATTCTGTTTTTTGTGCTCTTACCAATTATAAAGGAATTTTTGTTTAAAAGAGATAATTTTGGGAATGGAAGGAACAGTTTGCTGGTCAAGAAGAGGCTTTGCCTGAGTATTCTAAGTTTCTGACATTTCAAAATGGAAACATGAATTTCATAACAGTCCATGCATTTAAAGCTCTTAGCCAGTTACTCTACCCAAATTCTGTCTTTCCACCTTACCCTATTGAGTGATCATATCTCTTAGTAAGAATTATATTTATGCATTGCAAAATATGACACTCACCAAAAGTTTAGACTGTTAATGAATAAATTTTGTGTTGTTGAACCTGCAGTAGCTTTCTGTAGTCTACCATTACTCAATTAGATGGCTTATTGCTTGCCTAAGCCATTTTATAACTGCTTAGATCTCCTTCCTGAAATCTGTAGTTGCTTCTTGCTGCACATAAGGAACCATCATCGAATCAAGAAAAGGCTTATTGGTGTGCCAAATCAAAAAATATACACGAGATCTTCTGTTACTCCCATTACTTTAAATCTAAATTTTTATTATTTTTCAGCAATATTACATACCCTCAGCACGAGAACTTTGTCGATTGGTTGGGGTAACTAAAGCTCCAGTGATACAACATTTTGCTGAGACTATATCTGGAGCAACAACTATTAGGAGCTTTGATCAAGAATCTAGATTCTGTGCTACAAGCATACAACTAATAAATGGATACTCAAGACCAAAATTTTACAGCGCTGTTGCAATGGAATGGCTTTGCTTTCGCTTGGGCATGTTATCTTCAATTACATTTGCCGCCTCATTGATCATTTTGATCTCCATTCCTGTAGGAGTAATTGATCCTGGTATGTGAGTCCCATTTATTTCTGTACTCGCTATCATATTTCCATCATGTACAACATAACCATTGTAACATTCATTACTCTTATGTTTAAAGGAATCGCTGGTTTATCTGTTACGTATGGGCTCAATCTCAACAGGCTACTAAGCTGGACGATATGGAATTTATGTAATATGGAGAATAAAATCATCTCAGTTGAGAGGATCCTTCAGTATACTTGTATTCCAAGCGAACCTCCACTTGTTATGGAAGAAAATAGGCCAGACTCATCTTGGCCGTCTTTTGGAGAAGTCAGTGTTCAAGACCTTCAGGTGATTTTAGTTTCATTTCACTCTTAGTACTTCATTAAAATTTGGCTACATAATAAAAGAAATTAAGTGCATGCTAGTTATAATGTTGTGGAAATGTACAGATTCGTTATGCTCCACACACGCCACTTGTGTTACGAGGTATTACTTGTACATTCCATGGAGGGAAGAAGACTGGCATTGTTGGGAGGACAGGAAGTGGTAAATCAACCCTCATACAAGCACTTTTTCGTATCGTTGAACCTGCAGCTGGGCAGATCATGTTAGATGGTATCAACATATCTTCCATTGGACTGCATGATATACGGACCAGATTAAGTATAATCCCACAAGATCCCACCATGTTTGAAGGAACTGTCCGAAGCAACCTGGATCCTCTTGAAGAATACTCTGATGAACAGATTTGGGAGGTAATTCTTACATTTTGGTACACAACTTTGCTCTACAGATATCCTTTTCTTTCCTCCCTAAAAAACACTTTCTAATGTTTTCAGGCCCTTGATAAATGCCAACTTGGAGACGAAGTTAGAAAGAAAGAAGGAAAGCTCGATTCAATAGGTTTGTTTATTACTTCATCTACGCTGATTGTTCTTGATTTTGGTCCTATTTTTCTTCTCTTCAGCTTTCAACTTATGTGGATTCTTTATCAAAATTTCAGTTACGGAGAATGGTGAGAATTGGAGTATGGGGCAGAGGCAGCTTGTTTGTTTAGGCCGCGTGCTACTTAAGAAAAGCAAAGTACTGATTCTAGATGAAGCAACTGCATCAGTCGACACAGCAACAGACAACTTGATTCAGCAAACACTAAGAGAACATTTCTCAGATTCGACAGTAATTATCATAGCACACCGGATTACATCTGTTATTGATAGTGATATGGTGGTGCTTCTAAGCCATGGACTTGTAGAGGAATGCAATTCTCCTATGAAGTTGCTAGAAAACAAGTCATCATCGTTTGCTAAACTCGTAGCAGAGTATACAACAAGATCTATATCTAATGTAGAGAAAGCAACATAACAGTACATTTCAGTGAAGTACAAAGAACTCAACTATATCTTCCCGGATGATGGCGAAAATCATAGCAATAAATTTTGGATTAAATGTAAAACAAAGTACAAATAGAGTGTAAGTGCTGGTGTTGTTGCAATTATTGTCAAACATGCGTGTAAGAGCAAAGCTTTTCATGGTGATAACAAAAATATTTGATTATAATAGTTAATTTCTTTGTGTTTGTGTGCATTTCAAAGACTGTTATATTGAGACAATCTATAGTATTTTATCTAGGCACCCCTTCTATATAAGTAAATAACCATGGTTCCACACTTCCACCACTCCCATAAAAGTGACTTCAACCCTTACAATTTTTTATAGATTTTTTTTTTGTTCATAACTTTTTTTTTTTTTTTTTTAATATTTTTTGTAAAATGTAGTTTTTATAAATCTTGTTTAAATTGGAAGTCTAACGGAAGTTTGAAGCTACTAATTGGCAGATTTCATTAGGTATGCTTTTTAGTCAATTCTTGGCTGATGACATTAATCCTTGAGATTTCCAAATTGAGTGGAATATGTTGCAAGTCGTTTTGGTTGTTGAAGGAACCTCATTTATGTAGGAAGAAGACAGGCTTTTAGGGACAAAAGTATATGGAATACAATGAAGGTATCTTTTCATCTTATGAATATTCGATATCGTACCATTTATTTGTTGATTATACATTTGGGTACACCGTGCATACCATGATATTTCGAACAACTTTTAAATGCGTGTATGGTTTTCAAAGTGATACTAGTTTGAAAATGAAGACTAAAACCAGGGAGATATAGTGCTAAACCGAATTTTTGATATCATGTGTTGGGACTGAACATTGTCTTATATCACCACAACCCCTAATCCCAAGATTCTACAGAATGATAAACAAAGTGAAGTCACTCTAAGACTCTCATGTCATAAAGCCTAAAATGGGTCCAAAATATAAATACAACAAAACAAAACCACAATGACAAACAACCAAACTTAAAAGCCCAATTCTATAAAAGGCCCAACAAACTAATACACTCATTCTACGGCCTATTGGGCCTAGTAGTCTTAATGGGCTCATCGAATTCATCCTCCTCAGCCTCATCCATCCCAAAAGTACTCTTAACAGCATCAGCTGCACCTTGAGCCATACTCTTCACTTGGTCTCCGGTTCTCTGGAGTATCCCTCCAGTCTTCTCGCTCCCGGCTTCCGCCGTCTCCTTCGCGGCTTCCGCCATTTCCGAGGCCTTCTCCTTGGTGGCTTGGGCTGCATTATATGCCTTATCCTTGGTGACTTGGGCTGCATTATAGGCCTTGTCCTTTGTGGTTTGGGCCATTCCAGCGGCCCCATCCTTGGTGGATTGGGCCTGATCTGCTACGTACCCTCCGGTTTGGTCCTTGGATTCCTGGGCTCGGCCCTTTGTGTTTTGGGCCTTTTCAGAAGTCTTGTCTTTTGCTGCTTGGGCTGTGTCCATTGTTTTGTCCTTGGCTTCTTGGGCCTTGTCCTTCATTGCTTCTGTTGCCCCCCTTGTCTTGCCCATCACTTGATTAGCTTTCTCCTATAAATCAACTCAATTGTAATTATTACATGTTTAACATAGGGGCAAGCTATTAGATGTATAGGTATTACATTCTCTTAATAATAACGGAAAATAGTTGTCAACATAGACTAAAATCTAACATACCCACAACCCACAACAATAATTGAGGGGGAACTGAAACTTAACCACTAAAACTGAGACCCAAATTCGAATTAGGCAAAAGGGCGATGAACCGGGTAGAAACGCTATAAACCAAAAAAAAAGAAAAAGGACATAGTCTAAAACCTACCATATTTTGTACATCATGGTCTCTTTTTTTTCCTTACATAATTACACGAAATACATACTACATTTAATAAATTTATAAAATAATCCGATTATAGATCATTACTATCCTGAATATAGAGCTAAGCATATCAACAACATTTTAAAATAGTACAAATACAGAATGTATGTTTTGCGTGGAAAGTGGAACATAACATCATGAAATGCCAGGGATCGAATTGATAAATCCAACCATAGTGCAACATAAGAAAATATCATAGTTAACTATCATAGGTTAGTAATAAAAACAATTAAAAAAATATTACAAAACAAAGAGAAATATTCCGTAACAAGTTAATTTAGGCATGTGATTAAGAGTTAATTAATAAATTACCTCAGCTACACCAGCAGATTCACCAGCTCTGTAACTCTGACCATGAGACGCCATTTTACTGTTTCTAAGTTACTGTTATTACCAACTCTAACTAATCACCAACTTTATCGAAAATTAAGAAGCTTTGATCAACAATAAAAACTGAAAATTATTGATTATGAGTTTTTTCTTTTTTTTTTTTTATTTGGGTTGAACTATTACTGTAGATTGTATTGAACCCTGTATTTATAGACGTTGCATGCTTCTCACAACCCAGGACACGTGTCTTGCTATGAGATACGTAACCTGTCACGTGCCATGCAACTATTAGCTTCTACTATAATACGACTACGTGTTATCGTAGTTAGCTCCACTTTTCGCGTACTCTTCTAGATAACGTTTTTTATGTGATCAAATTGTATTAGATTTGATCAGAAATTTATTGCTCGATCGATGAATTTTATATTAAGATTTGATCATAAAATAAAATAATGATTTTACATTAATTGTGTCTGCCTATTAGTTTTCTTCTTGTACAAATGAGATATACTCTATGTTTCGGTGTGAAAACAATAGGACCTTCAGCAGACCCTTTTCGGTGGAGAAAATAAAGCTTGGTCAGGTAAAAGTTGACCAAGGATTTCCTGCACAACAAAGCACACGTAAACTAGCCTCTGGGGTGGTTGTCGAGGAAGACCCTCCGATACTAAAGTCAGTTCAGTGTATAGAGAGTAAATGTTGTGCAAGAGAATTAATTGCTTGACGCTGATTGAGAATGAATGTTAGAAGAGACAATTAATGACTTTTATACCTTTGCTCAATTCAGGAGAATTGGGCTCTTGAAGTCAGATGGGCTTGCCATGCTGACAGGACTTGGTTGACTTGGACTTAGCATGTTTACGGAGAATTGAATCTTGCTTTTATAATTGAATCTTTTGGACCGGCCCAATTAGTAATATAGCTGAATTAGACCCAAACACTTTAGAATGGGGAAACCTTTAATCTATACTACATTACTACTAGCTATTCATAAACAGTGACGGGGCTAGGTCGGTGCAAGGTGTGCAAGGTGCAACCCCAAATAAAAAGGCCCCAAAAATTAATATAAGTATAATTTGTTTCACTTAGAATTACATACAGAATATATAAGTGGATCAATGGCTGTGAAAATATAAGAGTATATCCATTAGATCAGAGTTAAATTCCAATCCTAGCTTATAAAAAAAATGAAGGGAGTATAAAATAAGAGCTCAATTTAAAATACTTTGAAATTAGAACCCTAGTCTCGCCCCTGTTTTTTTTTATAACATATTACATAACCACTAGATGATTAAAACTATCTAGACAAATGAAAGTTTGTTGCCAAAATAAGCTTCCATGATTGCGGTGATGCTGAAAATTGCACATCATGAAGCCAACCCTAAACGAAGACAAATTAAAGAAAAACGCAGGAAAAGCAATACATAAACTAGCAAAGTAAAGGAAAGAAAGGGTGGCGAGAACCATGGATTTTTACAAAGGGTGTCGAGATAGAAAGTTTTAGATTGTCTTAATATAATAATCCCTTCGTTATTTAATGTTTGCATAATTTTAACTAGCACATTTATCGAGCTATAATTTTAACCATTAATGTCTTTAATTGTCTATTAGTAAAAATTATAACAAAAAATTATAGTATAAATAGACATTGTAATTTTTTTTTTGAGGAAAAGTACGGGATTTTATTAAGATAAATCGAGTTCTGCCAAAGTTTGTAAGTTTTGAGAGAATGAGCTCATACAAACACGCTCCAAATAAGAGTTTTTGTAAAACCAAATAAGCTACAGTATTACCCGCGTGTTTAACATGCTTACAAGCAAAATAATTGAAAAGCAAACTCAATTTGAGGATGTCCTCATAAATACCCATACCTCGCTGCCCCTGTCTCGGGCATCTCAGGACCCCACCCAACATCAACCCTCTTCACTGCAGCAGCTAACAGATCACCACACCAAACTGCACACCGTTGTTGTGAGTTAAATGGGCATCAACATTCACCTTTACCACTCCAATCGTAATTAATGTCCTTGTAATTAATCCAATGATATATAGTACGGAGTACTTCATAACAACATTATTTACTCATTTTACAATAGTAAAAAGTTAAATCAAAGAGAGCATGTGAATAGTGCACGGGAAAAATTAATGTGATTTTTAAAAAACAGAGGAAGTATTCTTTTTCAAATACAAAAAAAGAAAAAGAAAAAGAAAATCATTATAAACAATTTTTTTTCTATTACCATGAAAAGCTTTGCTCTTTAGCCTGTATGTCTGACTAGGGTGTCAAAAACTTACCCGACTCGAAAAGTTTACCTGAAACCGAACTGTTTTCGAACTAGTTGGATCCTGGTATTTTTTATCCGAATTCGATCTGAAGTCGACCCGACGTAATCTCAAAACTGACTCCACTCGGTAATTTATGATCCAAACCCAACTTGAAATCAACTCATATTTAATCCGAAACCAATAAGACCCGATAATACAAAATCCGAACTCGATCTAGCCCGAAACAAAATCTACCCGAAACCATTTAGACCCGAAAAATAACTCTTTTTAACCGACCTTTAATTACCTGATTTGAAACTTCCCATGACCCAATTAAAACCGACCAGAAATTACTCATGATCCAATTAAACCCGACCTATATATTATTAACCTAACTAAAATTTTTCATGACCATAACCCGACATGACTAAGGTAATTGGTAATAGGGTAGACCAATAATAACTCATGATCCAAGTTGTGAATTATAGAGAGAACAAAGAAGGGAGACATAGAATGGAATAGTAACTGGTAATAAAATGGTATAAAAAAACTTTAATTTATAGGAAATATTGAGATACTCTAGAAGTAAAGAGTGGAGCAAAGCAATAAGAATGTTTGAATGGAGTCAACATTATAGGGATGGTACAATGATTGATATATTAGTCCATAATGTTAGTACTCTAAAGTCAAACAATCCTAAATTATCATATAAGATAAAATAAAAAAAAATAAAAAATTATAGTTCCTTAAATGTTTAAAATTTGAAATTTATAACATATATATGTATACATGATATATGAATGTGATTAGTTGTGTTATATTCACCTGATTTTGACGAATCTGATTTTATTTCAACTTAATTGAACTTATCTGAATTTATATAAACAACTCTGAATTTATCTGAATTTATATAAACATATTTGAATTTATCTGAACTCATATCAATCTGAACCTATATGAATTTATTGAAGTTATTTAAACTTATTTGAATTTATAAGAAAATATCTGAATTATCTTAAATAATCTAAACTTATATTAATTTATCTGAACTTATCCGAATTTATTTGAAATTATCTGAACTTATCTTAATTTATCATAAATTATCTGAACTAATCTGAATATTTTAAAAAATGAACTTTTCTGAATGTATTTGTAATTGTTCAACTTATCTGAATTTATTTGAACTAATTTGAATTTATTTGAACTAATCTAAATTTGAATAAACTTATCTAAAATTATATAATATTATCTAAACTTTTAGTCTTGAAATAAGAGAAAATAAGGGGAGTTGAACAAACCCTAATCTGAATGGACTTTAACTTAGCTTATTAGTCCTTATTATAGCTTATTTTAGTTGTAATTTATTTAAATTCTAATAACCTTTATTAAAACTTATTTTAGCTATACGTCAAACTCAAGTAACATTTATTCATTATTGATCTGTAGTAATGTGTCCTTACTTAATAAGGAGTTAGAATTATTATGAAACCAACATGAAAAAAATGTGTTGCGATTATTACAAAATGGAGGGGTATAACTTCATTAACAATAACAAAATTCAAACATTACTAAAATTTGAAAATCTTGTATTCTTAATCACGATTTAGATGCTAATATATAATAAAAAAAATCTTAACACTTCTAATAATCAAGTTGCCAATGAATTGATGATGATAAATAGCCGCAAAGACGACGATAAACGCAAAACGGTAAGGAAAAAGACATTTTACAACGATGTGATAATCACCCTATCAAGGCGATAAATAGTCAATTTCTGTAATAGCTTGAGTTGTCAATCTTATAACAATTCTAATAAGCCAATACGAAACTAAATTAAATGAAACCCAACAGACTACATATGAATGAAAATCTCCAATAACAAAAATGACATTATCTGACATGTATTCTAATATAGCTAAAACGACTTGAATTGAGATTAACCTGAATTCAAATTAGTCGACTCAAAACCGAAACTAAAGTAATTTTAATTGAGAATGAGCTAATAATCGAAGTAACTAGCTAGATTCAAATTTTAACCAGAACTGAATTGATTCGAACCAAGGTCTAATTGAATTCGAAATGACCCGATCCAAAATCAAATAAATCCATTTTGACCCAAATAAACCCGATAAAATCTAGATCAGAGTTCATCTTAAATCAATATGACTCGACCCGAATTTGACTTGACCCAAGTTCGATTTGTATCCGACCATGTTTGAACTCAACTTTAACCCGAATCTGATTAAGCTCAACCCGATTTGATTTGGTTTATTAGGTTAAAATGACCCATCATTACCCGACCCAAACATCCCGACCTGTCGTGGTTCAACCAAAACTCCATCTGGATACCCGATTTGACACCTCTATGTCTGACAATTAGCATCATTAATTAACTGGAGGTCCAATATTAGCACCAATATACATAAACCACCACTTACACTCTGTTTGTACTTTCTATTGCTTACGTACACTCTATTTGTACATTGTATTGCTTACACTTTTATACAAAATTCTATTGTAATGATTTTCGCCATCATCCAGGAAAACTGTAATGTACTCTTATGTTGCATTCTCTGCAATTGATATAGATCTTGTTGTATACTCTGCTACGAGTTTAGCAAATGACGATGACTTGTTTTCTAGCAACTTCATAGGAGAATTGCATTCCTCTACAAGTCCATGGCTTAGAAGCACCACCATATCACTATTGATAACTGATGTAATCCTGTGTGCTATGATAATAACTGTTGAATCTGAGAAATGTTCCCTTAATGTTTGCTGAATCAAGTTGTCTGTTGCTGTATCGACTGATGCAGTTGCTTCGTCTAGAATCAGTACTTTGCTTCTCTTGAGTAGAACGCGGCCTAAACAAACTAGCTGTCGCTGTCCCATACTCCAATTCTCACCATTCTCAGTAACTGAGATTTTGATAAAGAAT